GGCATTTCCTTCCCAGATTTCACTAAACGCTGCCTGGCCGCCTTCCAAATGGCCACACTTATCGCTTCTCCAACAGGCGATGCCTGAGAGCTTCGGCCCCCTCCCACGTCCTCAGCACCAATCGCTGCCATGCAATTTTTGCTTTCTGGCCAATCGGTGTGGGTAATTTAATTTCTCTGATTTTCATTTGTATTGCTCTGATGGCTGGTGAGGCTGAGAATCTCTTCGGATACTTCATATTAGACTTGGCATTGCCCCTTCTGTGACTTGGCTACCCATTGACATACATGGCCTGCTTTTCAGTTTTTATTGCTCTCCTTCGCTTGGATAATTTGCAAGAGCCCTTCACATTACCCTGAGTACAAACATTCACCAGTTCTAGAAAACTGTCTATAGGGGCGCCTGGATGGCTCAGTCGGTTAAGCGTCCGACTTCGGCTCAGGTCATGATCTCACTGTCCGTGGGTTCGAGCCCCGCGTCGGGCTCTGTGCTGACAGCTTGGAGCCTGGAGCCTGTTTCAGATTCTGTGTCTCCCTCTCTCTCTGACCCTCCCCCATTCATGCTCTGTCTCTCTCTGTCTCAAAAATAAATAAATGTTAAAACAAAATTTAAAAAAAAGAAATAAAACTGGCTATAATTTATCCCAGAAAGTATTTTCACCCCTCTGCCAACTTTGTTTCAGATGCTAGCTATGGAACAGAAATCCTTACTTTTGAGTTAGTGAAGTCAATCAAATTTGTCCCGCCCGGTGTGTCCTTTCCGTATTGTTCGATAAAGCCTTTCCCAATCAAAGTTACAAACATAATCTTCTATCACATGAATAGAAAGAATGGGAATGAGCATCAAGGAGAGAGAGGGAGAGAGAGAGAGAGAGAGAGAGAGAGAGTCTGGGAGCTGGATAATCCACCAGCCTGAATGACCAAGAGCTGATTAACTGTAACAGCCCGGAATTTGGCAATTAGATGATTCTGCACACCATTTCTACACATGGTATGAATTCCTGGGTGGAGATTACTTCTTATCCTCAGCTGCATTTGTAAGTTCTTTGTCCGTGGGGCTTATGTGCTGTCATTCTTTGATGTATTTGGCACTTGATGTGAGTCTCAGGAAGAGCGCTGGGCCTGCCCACCCCCTCCACACTCACGTATGCACACACACACACACACACACGGACACCCACTAGCTGTGATCCCTTGAGGGCTGCTCCGTCCCTGGCACAGGCTGGAATGTCATGGTCCACTCTCCATCCCTCTGACTTTTGAGGACACGGCCATTGGGATCTGCTCCTCCGCAGTGGCACAGTCGTGGGTTTCAGTCGTGTTCATTACAGCGCCACGAAAGGAGGCCCAGCAAGGATCTGCTGCATTATTGAAGGTGACAGTGACAACAGAGATCTCCTCCTCCTGGCGTTGCACATGGACCCTCGAGTAGGCGATCGTGAAAGCTGTCAGCAAAGGCGACTGAACTACGGTGGCCTCAGAGCGTCCTGGTCGGGTGCCGTGTGCTTCCCATGGCCTTTCTGCACTGGACGCTGATGGCCTCATTCCCTCCCTCCTTCCCCCAAACAGCGCCTGTCACCTGGTGAGAGCGTGCTAAGGAAAAGGCAAATATTTGAACAAAGATGTGGTAAAGACACACACATGCCAGTCGGAGAGAAAATACAGTCTGAGAAGTGTGAGTCAGAAATGCGGACTTAATACGTTGTCGTACGTTTGTCGAGCCGCTGGGATACACGGGGCAGTGTCTTGGGCACTGGGACACGGCCACGAACAGGATGGATGGGGCTCCCAAGCTAGGAGTGTAGAATGCTATCGATAACCAGCATGTACGGAGCAGTCTTTTCGTGTGGGCACTTTTCTAAGTGTTTCACTTTTTGGGGCTCTTTTAGTCCTTATGGAAGCAACTACAACAGGGATACTATTATTGTCCTTCTTTTACACAAGGGGACACTGAGACACCATGAGGCTAGGTAGCTCGTCTGTGGTCACACAGCTCACAACAACCGACATCCTGGATTGGAACCCAGGCAGTCTGGCGTCAGAAGCCCTCCAGAGAGGTCTCGTTGGACGAGCCTTGTTCACAAAGGAGCCCAGACGGGAGCGTAGACACTTTTCTAGAATTCAAGTGCTCTCTTAAAATAAAGGGACACTCAGGATGAACGTTAGGATTTGTTTCACGTGGATGGGCACACCCCGCTCACGAACGTGAACTAGGCGCCCCCTCTGTCAGGTAATGGGCTGGTGGCAAGGGATAGAAAATGTGCAGCCAGGTAGACAGTAGGCACTTACTACGTGTTTGTTGAATGAGCGAATCAGGAAAAGAGTAACTGAATCAATGAAGAATCTCTTGTTCAGGTAGGTTGGACTGGAGACCGCGACGCAGGGCACGAGCTACTGGGGGAGGCGGTGGAGGATGGTGTTGGGTCGGCTACCTCGCAATGACTCCTCCCCTTCATTAGCTTGGGGAGTCACCCCTTTCCTCTGCTCCGCGTGCACATGGGGAAGGTTACCCCAGACCCAAGTTTCGGGGGGCCTGCTGTGATTGGCTCAGAGATGAGGGTGTGGCCCAAGTTGCCCCCTCCGAGTGGACTCTGGGAGTCTCGCTCGACTCTTGGGGCTGAGACATTCCCTCTCTCCCTCTCCCCAGTCACCCCGCTCCTCTCTCCCTGGAGACAAAGAAGAAAGCAGCCCCCACCCCGGGGGGAGGCTGCCACAGCCACTATGGGAGCAGAGACGCGGGAAGGAGTCAGGGCCTTGGGAGCGTCGCTCTGCCACCAGATGAAACCTGTTTGACCTTGATTCTCTGTTCTGAGAGCCAAGAATTCCCCAAAGGTTCAAGTCTGTTGGAATTGGGTTTCCGTTAATTACGATTGAAGGCCTGCTAATTGACACAGAGGCACAGACTTCTGGTTTGGGAATCTCAAGCTCCAGGTGGGAATTGGAACAGACACGGGGGGAAATAAGCAAAGGTTTCGCTACAGGTAAGAGAAGCCAAAGTAGCTCTTCCTAAGCCGAAGGCGGTCTGTATAAGTGACTCCAAACCCACGGTGGGCTGGGAGCCCTGGCTCGAGGAGGGGGCCCAGGAAGACCGGCCGCACGAGAGGGGCAAGGAAGGGTGGGGAGCAGTGCTCGGAGAAGCAACACGGCCAAAGGGCCTGGGAAAGGTCTGGAAATACGAGAAGTTTCCAAACTGTGCTGTGCCAGTGACCGGCACGTAGGATGTCTGCAACACAAGGTGACTCTCGTTATTAAACATCAATGTCTTGGGGCACCTGACTGGCTCAGTCAGAAGAGCATGTGCCTCTTGATCTCGCGATTATGAGTTTGAGCCCCACGTTGGGTGCAGACATTCTCTAAATAAATAAAAACTGTAAACAACTGTCTATTTGTTTAGGCATCTGGGTGACCACCGGTGGGCTTCACTGGGGCCATCGGCGCGAGGGGCAATGGTGGCAGTGGAAGCTGGTACTTGTTATCCCAGGCGGGCATGCAGACTGCCAGTGTAGACCGTGGGAGCAGCCTTACCATGACATAGAGGTTAAAAAGGGAAGAAAGAAGAACGTAGTTAGCAAGGGCTCCTCAAGATGCGAGAAGGCAGGCAACACGTCCAGGTGGCATTGGGGGAATGGCGGGGAGCGGATAAAGGTAGGAAAGGTGGGGGTGGAGGGTGAGGGTGGGGTCAGAGAGGGCATCAGAGCAGAGGACAAAGCGCGCGATGGAAGGAAAGACCGGATCTGGGGCTGGTGTGGCCTCTGCAGGGGTCCTGAGGGCCGGGGGTGGGGGGAGGGGCGGGAGGTGTGAATGTCCCGGAGATAGAGTAAAGACCCACTGCATCTAATCTAATAATAGCCAAATGGCAGCAGTGCACTTCTCCTTCCACCGGCCAGATCCGCCTCTGCTCTTTTCCTCTGCTTCTCTCCTTCTTCCCTCCCTGCTCACACAAATAGCAACCACATGCAATTATCCCCTTTAGTTTTAAAACCAGTGGGTGGAAAGAGGGGCCGCTGAGGTGTACCTGCACACTCCCTCTGAGTACCTCGCTTTTGAGCGCGCAGGAGAGCCGCCCCCCCAGGGACAGGTGCACCCGGCCGAGGCCTCGGGTCCCAGCATGTTCTGGACACCTCAGGTAGGGTCTTGAGGCAGGACTGGGGGCCCAGCTGCGACGAGATGCCAGGTGAGTCATGCCCCGAGCTTGTGAGTCAGTTTCAGCACCACCTGCAGTATTGAGCCTGCGCGCCAAGCTCAGCCACAGGCGGTTTTCAGCCAGCCACACAGCCCCTTCCTTGGGAAGGTCAACAGGAAGGCCGGACCCGCCCAGACCATGCTCTGTTCTCTCCTTCCCAGAGTCTGGAGAATCCCACCCCTTCTCAATACAGCTGGCACCCACCCCAAGATCAGATGTGTTAGACCCCTACCTGCAGAGGGGAGGAAACCCAGGAGTGCCATCCCCAGGAGGGAACTCTGTCTCCCGGTCCCAATATCCTTCAGCATCCTACCTGCCACTCCCCCTGAGCATGGACTTGGAGCCAGTGGGGCTGGCGTTTTGTGCAGTTTAATGGAAGCTGCCCATGGAGGAAGCCTGACAACGCCCCCCCAATCGAGAGTTGGGAGAGCCTGGCCGGGGCAGACCTAAGCCCCACGGTGTGGCATACTGGAGGGTCAGGAAGCATCAATATCACAGGAAACAGCCCGCTTGTTGTCTCCCTGCCTCCTGAGGGACGCTGGTTGGAAGTTTTGCCTCTGCAAACTGCAGAGCGAGCAGGCGCGAGCCCTAGATTGCTTCTGTCTGCCAGTTTGTAAAAAAATGTTAAACTTGGGGTGGGTGGGGAATGTCACTGCAAGCATGGTTTACATCACGGGCTGGCAGAGCAGCTGGTCCCTGGCCAGGATGTGGGGTCCCCTTCTCTCCTATTCTTGGCTCTGAGGATGCTCAGCCATCTCTGCCTTGGTGCGTGTGAAAGCAGGAGGCTGGAGCCCAGTTTCCAGATGGCTCCCCTGCTTCTAGGGAGAAGATGCTCTGGCCGGGGTTCTGTGAGCCTCCCCGTGGTCTGGCTCCTTGGTGGTGGGCAGGGCCACAGGCTCAGGCATGGGGCTCAGGATCAGATCCACCTTCCCCAGGGCCAGTGAGGTGTGCCTCAGCTTCCCCTCACCCTCCGCTGCCTGGCGCCCCCGCTTGAGGAACGTGATCCCGCCTACCTTCCACAGCCACCCACTCCTGGGAGACACATACAAGACTGACCTGTCGTACAGGTTCAAGTTCCTGCACTGGCGCTGTGGGCGCTGCTCCAAGCAGGCACTGTGGGCGCCACCAGAGCATTCGCCCCTCCGCCTTGGTGCTGAGCTTCCCCCTGGCAGGAAGACCTTCACAAAGTTAAACACCCATTTTGTTGGATTCCCCGGCACCCAGTGCTGTGAGATGCTGTCTTTCTTTTTGTGCCCCGTGAGGAGGGCCCACTGCAGGTCTCTGCATCAAAGGCTGAGGGATGAGGAAGCCCAGGTGGCCAGCGAGATGAGGTCAGGGCAGGAAGGCTCTCGCCCACCTGGCCATGCTCTCCCCTCTCTCCCGCTGCACTTGGTTGTTACTGCTGCCACGCCTCTCCCTGGGTGGTGCATCGAGGGAGTTGCCCGGCCCATAGGGATCTGCTGCCACTGCCTCCTGACCACCACCTCCCAGAGGGCTGGCTAGCCGGTCCCCAATGCCTGAAGTAAAATTTGTCTACCCCTGCACAAGCATCCAGAATAGTTCTGTGTAAAAAGGAGCTGGGGCTGGGCAGGGGCGCGGGTAGGGAGGAGAGCAAGGGCATTGCTGCTGGGGTGTGTTAGGAGTTACAGGCCCGAGGGAAGTCACCATCACGCGCAGTTGCCTGGACAAAGCTCCCTCCCTAACTAAGCTGGAAATTTTAGCATTGACCAGGAATCAAGATCCTCAGATCCTGCTGAGAAAAAAGTCCCGATAAGGGGATTTTTTGTTTAGGTTTTCTGATGATATTTGACAATAAATTCCAGGCCCAACTACTTTTAAAGAGCAGATTGTGGAACCCCTTGCCTCACAGCTGCCACCCAGGTGGACGATGGGCATGAGCCACAAGCGCCCACCCGGCACCTTTCTCAACCTTCTTCGGATTCAGGTTCACTTTTCAACACCAGCACACAAATGCTTTTGGTGGAAGAGAGCAGGGAACAACGTCTGGGGGCTGGGGGGGGGGGGGAGGGCTGTAAATTGTCCAGGCAACTGTGTAAGATTATTTGCCTCTTAGCTTCACAACAGATTCATGCCCTGAGCGGTGGGGCCAGCCAGCATCTTGTGACACCCAGTCTCCTTTCCCTTCCTGTTAAGGCTGGTGGCTCCAAGGAAGCCACTTTTTAGGCAGGGATGAGCTCTGCCCCCTGTTCATTCGTACCCAAGGGCACCAGTGGACATTTCTCAGTCCCCTGATAGCAAGATGGCCTAGCATGGGCCCACAGAAGTCCTGTGAAAATACAGAAAGGCTACTCAGCCTTTGCAGAACTAGTGGCACTGGGGAGACGTGACCTCCCAGGGAAAGGTACTCACGAGTGAGTCAACACGAAGGCCCCGGAGGCTCTGACCCACAGTCCTTCACAAGCACAAATTCCATCCCCCATTTTCACTGGGCTCCGTCAGCTGCGTTCAAGAGCAGAGCCAGGTAGGGAGCCTTCTTGAGGAACAGAGAACTGAGCGATGTTCCTCGCACCTCTGCCGTGGGGATGTGGGGCAACGGAGATCTTGAATTGGACCTGTTCTCCCTCTGTGCCTTGATTACACTCAAGTGTTTGATGGCCAGCGTGAAAGCTCCCGTGGGGGCCGTGAGCAGGTCCTACAGGGTTTAGTTTATGATTTAAGGCCGCATTGAAAAATTAGGGTTTCTCCAATAATCTCCCACCTCACGGGTAGCTGATGATGCTTTCTTATTCTTCCTCTTCAGTCTTGATTGTCCTAAGTTGAAGCAGATTCATCAGATCTTGATTAACCCTTACCCCGGCTAGCCTTATCCTCACCCCAAATGCAACCAGTGCCCTAAATTCACAAACACGACACGTCCTTTGACATGGCCAATGAACAAGCTACGGCAGGCCATGTTATCACCTCCCCAGCCCTCCACCCATCCATGTCGGATGCAGCCATCTTGTCTATAGAGTGAAGGGGGTTGGTCCCTCCCACCTCGGTGGTTCTTTCTTTCAGTGGGTACCAGGGCCTTCTCATAATGGCCTTTGTTTTTGTTTCTTTCAAAGCATTTTCTTGCCCCTGGTTTCCGGGCTTCTGAATCTTCCGGCACCCCTGAAGCTATTCATCTTTAATCCCTTCCCCTGCTGCTCTGGTGTCTGATCTCACTCTTTAGCTCACCCCACCTCGCCGTCCTGCCAGATGCTCCAACTGCAGAGCTAACTGTTAAAATTTAGGGCCTGGAGCAAACATTTCTGAATCAGCCTTCCTCTTCTGTGCATTAATTACCAAATTAATCACTCTTCAGGGAGAAGGTCTCCTTTTCCTCCAATGCTTCTCCTGCGGGCTCCAGAGCAAAGTTCCTGGGATGACGTGTCTTCTCTCTGAATATATGGCAATTGATCAAAGTCTGGCTGCTCTTTAACATCCAAAGACCGTGTCACTGGTGTTTTTATATTTCCTTGCCGTGTTCCAACAACTCTTTATTTTTTGTGAGATTCAGCTTTTTGGTTTCTCGGTGCTTATCCTTCTCAAATTCCACCAAAGTAACTCGTTCAGGTCCCCTTTCCTATCCTTTATTTTATTTTGAAGTTTTATTTTATTTATCTTGAGAGAGGCAGAGAAAGTGAGTGGGGGAGGGGCAGGGAGCGAGGGAAAGGGAGAGAAACTCACGCAGGCTCAGTGCTGCCAGCACAGAGCCCGACGCAAGACCCGGACCCACGAAAACATGAGATTATGACCTGAACCAAAACCAAGACCCAGATGCTTAACTGACTAAGCCACCCAGGCACCCCCATCCTTTATTTTAAATCGTGGTGAAATGCATGTGACATTAAATGTACCATCTTAACCATTTTTAATTTTTTTTTAATGTTTATTTATTTTTGAGACAGAGAGAGATAGAGCATGAACGGGGGACGGTCAGAGAGGGAGACACAGAATCCGAAACAGGCTCCAGGCTCCGAGCTGCCAGCACAGAGCCCGACGCGGGGCTCGAACTCACAGACCGCGAGACCATGATCTGAGCTGAAGTCGGCTGCCCAACCGACAGAGCCACCCAGGCGCCCCAGATTAACCATTTTTAAGTCTACAATGTAGTGGCACTAAGAACGTTCACACTGCGTGGAACCATCACCACCATCTACCCACAGAACTCGATCTTCCCAAATTGAAACTCTGTCCCCATTAAATAACAGCTCCCCACTTCCCCTCCCCCACTCCCAGCAACCTCCATCCTACTTTCTGTCTCTCTGAATTTGACTACTCTAGGAATCTCCTGTACAGGGCATCATAGAGTATTTCTCCCTTTGTGTCTCGCTTATTTTACTCGGCAAGATGTCCCCAAGCTTCATCCGAGTGGTTGCAAGTGTCGAAATTTCCTTCCCTTTTAAGGCTGAATAAAATTCCATTGTATGGGTAGATCGCGTTTTGTTTCTCCATTCATCTATCAGTGGACACTTGGGTCGTTTCTTTCTTTTGGCTATGGTCAATAATGCTGCGGTAAACCCGGGTGTGCAAATATCTGTTCAAGTTCCAGCTTTCAGTTTTTTGGGGGGTAATGACCAGACGTGGAATTGCTGGGTCATAGGGTCATTCTATGTTTAATTTTTTAGGAACCGCCATATTGTTTTCCACAGTGGCTGCACCATTTTACATTCTCATCAACAACACATGAGAGTTCCATTCATTGTCATCGTCACCAACGCTTTTTCTACATGTCCTTTCCTTTATAATACAATTCATCACAAGGCATAACTCAGGAGGGAACAAGGCTGTGCGTGACAAAGCCTCGGAACAGAATACAGGCAACAGGTTTCTATAAGAGCCCAGGGTTATTGCAGGAGAGCTGGCTTTGTCAAATTTTCCAAGTAAGCGTATTGAAAATGGCCGTTTATATTGGCAAATAAATACCCATATAAATAAAATGTGCATCTGTAAGTTCGAGGCTCACATCCATTAATATAATGTATTTATATGGTAGCCCTAAGTTCATGCACCCAAATTGATTCTTTGGACAAAAGAAAGTAGAATTCCTGTAGACGTCTTTCCACATCGGGCTACGTTATTGGATAATATTTAAGCAATGTAATTTTTGCATATGGAAACCAGTCACTGGAAGGAATAAGCCTTATACAAACAATGAGACAGTAGACAATTAGGACAGCCAAGTTTCGTTCAGTTTTACAGGTCAGGGCAGATCACGTAAGAGGCTCTTGCTTTGAAAGAACAGAACAAGATCTGTTAAGTTAGGGCAAAACACTTGATTTCGGAGCTCATCCTAATGGAGTTAGTATAAACAGTGTGGCCCCATGGAGCCAGTCTATTCACTTGGGTCACTACCAGGCCTCCATTTATTTCCCTCCACTTTGAGCACCCATTCAGAAATGAAATGGTTTTAGGACAATGTTGGATGAACAATGGCCTTCAGATGGTTTAAGAGTAACGAAGGGGCGCCTGGGTGGCTCAGTCGGTGAAGCGCCCGACTTGTGGTTTTGGCTCAGGTTATGAGCTCACTGTTTGTGGCTTCGAGCCCTGAGTGCAGCTCTGCGCTAAGAGTCAGCAGCCTGCTTAGGATTCTCTCTCTTCTCCCTCTCTGTCTCTCTCTGCCCCTCCCCTGCTCTCTCTCTCTCTCTCTCTCTCTCTCAAAAATAAACTTAAAAAAAAAAAAAAAGAGTGACAACAAAATAGAACCAAGTAGGGGTTGAGGGGCGACACGACACGCACTGGCTTCAGTGCCCTGCTGTGGCTAATTGCTGCTTCCTCTCCTGCATAGATAGCATTGTTTGGGTTCTCAAGGACTTAAAGGGATATAGAATGCCCAGCCTTGGAATCCTACAGTCACGTAAGTGGGGACGGTGAGTGTCGGCCTGCTGTTTGGCAAGCTCTCAGCCCAGATGGGGTTCAGTAATGACTCCTACTAGGTGTTTAATCGGATCCTAGACGAGCACAGGACTGCCATGTTTAATTATTTCAGTTTAAAGGAGCATTCGGCTAGGTCCCGCTTGGTTTGCTATCACTGATCATGGTTGCGGAGAAGAGGGGCATGGACCCAGACGCCCAGGCCCTATTTCTGTGATGCACAGTGACAGGAGGAGACTGCCAGGGTCCGAAATCACCATCTGCGGATGTGTATTCATAGGCATTCTCTCTGAGCTGGCGCCTATTCAGTTGAGGCAGATAATTTACTGAAATGCTAGGACCCTGAATCCCCCTTGAGCACACAGACTTCGTCCTGATTTCACCGCATTCGAGGAGGCCGGGAGAGCAGCTGATATTCAAACGACAAAATCACCGGTGCCTCACAGTCTGATCGATGGGCATTGATGCCCAGGATATTGGTAGTCTAACCCTTAATTTTGTTCTTTACTAACTCGGCTATAGTTTAGCAGCCAAAGGACATTTGCATGTCAAGGGAATTGATTATTTTTTATTCGCTCTTCTGAAAAACCAAGCTGCTCTGTCTGCACATTTTA